CCCCCCAGCCTGCGTGCGGCAAAGGCATTAGGAAAACCGGCTACCCAGAAATAATAACCTAGCTCCTAGGGTAAACCGCGTAGTTTATTTTCCAAAGCGATCCGCCAAGAGACAGAAACAACACAACAGAACAGCTCAGGGCTTGCAACGCGCTATGACTGTACCTTTCAGTATACGTAACAAAGGGGGGGAAAAAAAAAGAAAGAAGAATGATGTCTGAAACAGGAAGACAGTCATCAGTTCTTAAACTGTTAGGAGTTGTCAGCTCTGCAGTTCAAGTATATGAATCTGGAGGTCTGGGAGGATCCTAAGAATCAAGTATCTCCATTCAATTGCAACACACAACTTTGAAAGTAAACCTTAACTCTATAATGCCTAATAAGTGACGTTTTCAAACCTTTCCTTCAAAGGAAAAGAACAAAGTGGGGGAGGGAATACAGAACACACAAAAAGCCACAGTGTTTCTAAAGACTATCTTAATTTTAAAATACCATTCCAACACAGCCAGTGCATCTGCTGAACTCCTTTTCCTAATGTACAAGGTACAGAAGCACTTTGAGTGTCCTGGAAGATAAATTAGGTTTCATATAAAAAAGGGACTGGGCGCTAATAAAAAACACCTCAGGAAAGGCCTCATAAAAGGGTTTATCTTAATTCCTTCTTTTCTCTGATTGAGGTCTACTATTCTTATTGTTACTGACCAGATATCGATATGCTTACCACAGTGTTTAGATGCTCACAAGAAGCTTTTTTGGAAACTTCCCTGTTCACATTTGCATGGAAATGAGAAGTAGCAGAAATAGTATTGGGGCAAAGAGCAGAGAGGCATAAAATTCTTAAAGACAGAACACGTAACAGTTTTATTAGCAAGGAAGTTGGCTTTTGAAAGGAAATAAAGATTAGATGGTCTTTTTTTATTGGGGGAGGGTATTTTCCCCTAACTACAATTAAAACACTAACTTCTACAACAAAATCCCTGATATCACCCTTGGGAAAAAAATCCAGGTCTGTTTCCTCAGGAAGGCTGAAGGCACTAGGCTGTTTGCAACTAACACACAATCCATTAATGAGACGCAAGTTTCAGTAACAGTCCGTGGGTCTAACCAGATTTGAAGAGGAGAATAGCAACATGACCCAGGTAGAAGTAGATGAAGTGCTTACTCTCATGAGTCACATGGCTGCTAAAGTTCCTTCCCACAACGCAATGCCAAGTGGGATTGTATTTCTTGTCAAACTCCTGCAGAAGAGAGCACTAGGAATTTAGTATTGCTGTTCGCGTGCTGTTGAGAAAAAGTGGGGAAAAGGTCTTAAATAGAAGGCATGGTGAAAGAGAAGGGGAAGAAGCTGGAAGAGTACAGGGAAGGTGCAGGGAAAGGAACATAGGGGCACCAGCTTGAGGAAAATCTGACTTGATCACCTCGTGTTCACAGAGCTTGCTTCTGTAGAGCTACTTACCCACCGTTTTCCCTGCTTGATTCTTTCACGTCCATAGAGCTTTCAAAAGGAGAGGATATTACAAGCAAACATTTACCCTCTTTATGTGAGCTGCGATTTCATGCTCAATGTTGTATTCCTCCAGAGAGTGAACGGCACACTCCACGGCGTCGTGCTGCATCTCCTCGGACATGTCCGTATCCTTGATCACGGCTTTCTGGTCACTCATGGTCACCTGCACTGAGCAGAGAAGAAGGCACCTCAGACCTGCAGGAGCGTTTCTCTACCTGCCCCGCACGGCCTCCCCTCACCGTCCCCCGGGCGCTGCAGCACCGGCCCTGCGCGGTACGGAGCAGGCCGCAGGGGCGGGCTCGG